GGGAGACAGCCGATATATCCTGTAAGTGTTTGCCTCTGTCAAGGGAGACCTGCATTGGTTTAGGGTGGTGGTGAGTCAGGGAGCCCTGTGGGTAGAACACAGTGTTGCCAGTGTACCCCCATCCTTTCTCCCACAGAAATGACAACTTCATGATATGCATGGAGACTATCACGGCTTGCCTGTGGGGACCACTCAGCATTTGGATAGTGATCGCCTTTCTCCGCCAGCAGCCCCTCCGCTTTGTCCTACAGCTTGTGGTCTCTGTGGGTAAGGAGAAAGCCAACACTTGTTGCTGGAGGGATTAATGGAGACACAGGGTCATCTGTGTGGGTGGGATCTCTCAATTGCACCCATCCAAGGCTGAATTAGACTGAAAGACAAACTCCCTGAAGTTCTGGAACAGTCATGCCCCTCTCAGCCTGTGTTCTCAAGCTGGGAGTGTTTGTTTCTCTTCCTCCATCACATAGTCTCCTGTGAAGGTTACATGAGGTGACCCATGATGTCGGAAAGCCCCTTGGTCCTCCAGGCTCAGGATTTTGAGTCCTCTTCATCTGAGATTCAGTCCTCTTGTGTTCTTATATTGTTAGCTTTCTTTAGTTCTAGAAATGTGAGTTCTCTTTAGTCCTGGAACCCTGAGCTATCTTGAATTAAATGATTTTGAGCTTTTTTAAATTCTAGAGTTATGAATGAACTCTACTGAGTTCCGAAATTCTCAGCTTCTGATTTCTGGAATTCTCACCTTTCTGATTTCTCAACGTTTCAGCTGTGTGATTCCAGAATTCTTAGCCCTCTGAATTTGGGAATCCTGAGCACTGAGACCTTAAATGATGACTTGGAAAATGCTTCCTTTTCTGCCTCCCACAGGTCAGATCTATGGGGATGTGCTCTACTTCCTGACGGAGCACCGCGATGGATTCCAACATGGAGAGCTGGGTCACCCGCTCTATTTCTGGTTTTACTTTGTCTTCATGAACGCTCTGTGGCTGGTGCTGCCCGGAATCCTCGTGCTTGATTCTGTGAAGCAGCTCACCCATGCCCAGAGCCTGCTGGATTCCAAAGCCACAAAAGCCAAAAGCAAGCAGAACTAATGAGTGATGGACTAGGCTTGAACATTGGCTGGTGATGAGCTCTCCATCTACCAGAAGAGTCTAGTCCTTGCTTCCACAGGTTAGAGGGACAAAGCAAGTTGATCTGTCAGACTCGGGCTGATGGGTTGGTACCAAAAGGACCAGAGACAGGGGGAAGAAAGGAGTGTGGAGCTATTGCCAGGAGCTATTGGAACAAAGGTCCAAGAGAACCTAGGAGGTCCATGGTGGCCGCCATTTTTTAAATCAATAAATAAAAGGTCTTGACTCTATCATTGAGAAATCTTTAATTATTAACCCCAGAGATGCCTCATGACTGACCCCACAGACCCCCTCCATCACTAACTCATTCCAAAGACCACCATTCTCTCAGCCATAGACCCCCATCATCCTCACATAAACCTTCAGTCCATGACCTCACAAACTCCTATTACTAACCCCACAGATTCCCATGGTAGCTGATTATATCCATGAGTTAACACCCGTAATCTCTTTTAAGGAGTGATCTTCCACCCACATTCTTGGTGTTCTCTCCAGAACACACTTTCCTGTTTTTTGCAATGTGGACAGGCTGAGAATTTTCCAAATCTTCAAGTTCTTCAGTTTATTCAGCCCCTTGTCTCCTGATCAGGCACCCCACAGATACCCTATCCCTTACCTCACAAACCCCTGATTACTCCAAAGACTCCTATCACTGACCCCAGACTCACCCATCACTACCCTAAAGATCCCACAAAACTTACCCCCACAGACCCCATCATTAACCTTTAAGGCACCCATCACTCTCCCCACAAACAGCCTTTCATTTGCTCCATAGACCACCCATCATTCACCTCACAGGCCTCCATCACTCACACCATAGACCCCATCACCTGCCCCAACAGACCTCTGATCACATACCCAACAATCCTATGACTCACCCCATAGTCCCCCACCTATCATGTCTCACACAGACCCCCTATCATTTACCCCATAGGCCTCTCATCACTCACTCTATAAACTCCCCATAACTCACCTTGCAGAATTCATTGCTTATCTCACATATCCCTATCTCACTCCACAGATCTGCGATTACCCTGCAGATCTTCCACCACTCACCGCACATCCTGTCACCCCACAGATTCTCATCATTCACCTCACAGATAAACCTCATCCTACAGATGCCCCCATCACTCATCCCATAGTCTCTGTCATTTACTTCATAGACCTGTCATAAAATAAATAGGTACTTGAGGAATTTTGAGGAGATGACAAAGAATGAATAATAAAACTGCAGATATACATAGACTGGCTCTAGGTTACCTGTTCAGAACAGGACTTCAGTTCCAGTCCTGATTCTGCTTGAGCCTAAAGTTTAGCTTTTGAGAAATGCCTCATTATTAAGGCCAAAGCCATAAGTTACTTCCTCACCTCATATCCATCACTTACCTCATCATTGAAGACATGCTTGCCTTCTTGCTCTTCTTCAAACATGCCAGGCATGGCCCCACCTTCCATCCACTGCACTGTCTACTCTGTGCCACTTACTATACCTTTGACCTTGAGCATGTTTCTCACTGAACTTCAGTGCTGTCATCTGTAAAATGCTCGTAATAATAGTATCTACCTCATAGGGTTTTTATGTACATTAAATGAATTAATATATGTAGACTGTCTGGCATACAATTTGTATTTGTCGAATGGAAGACTAAACAAATGAAAGAAAAAGTTCTCCCTAGGATCATGGTAAGGACCTCCTTGCTTCTATTATCTTTCCATGAAAGGCCTCTCTCCATCAAGACAGAGGCATCTGACCACATCATACCCTCATCTAAAACCTGTGCTTCAGTGCCCATGTCACTGGAGAGGTGACCAGGTTCTTGTCACTGCCACAAGAAAGAATTCATGGACAGACAGCAAAGACATTGGAGCAAACAGCTCAAGTTTATTGGAAGCAAAAGTACACTCTTAAGAGCGAAAGTACACTTCCAGGCCAGAGAGTAGGCAAACTCAAGAGAGAGCTGCCCTGCCTCGTTGTGGGTTCAGGAGTTTTATCTATTGATCTGAGGGGTGGAATATTCATGATCTTGGGTGGTCTCTTTGTAGAAAGAATGTGGTTTCTCTTGGAATCAGGGAGACACCCCATTTCTTGCCATGTTTGGGTTTTACTGAACTCTCATGGTGTCAGATGCATCATGGGTACAGTGTTAACTGCAATGCTAATTTATTATACCAGCTGTATAATGAGGGAAGAATTAGGCTAAAGATGAACGGGGCCTGATCTGCACATGTGTCTTTGTGGGAAAGACTACCTGTGTCTTTGGGTCAGGATGTTGTGGACTTTGAGCTCCATTAAGGGCCTATCAGGGCTCATGGCGACCGTATCTGTGCCCCTGTGGGTTTCTTACCTTCCTGCTCATATCTATCTGCCTACTCTTAACACCCTCAGGGTAAACTAAGACTAATCAGACCAGTGAGAGAGGCTAAAGTTTTACTCATCCCACCCTATGAAAATGAGACTCTCAAACGCTTTGTTTCCATCAGAAAAATCCAGCAATGCCATAAGAAGTGTTTTTGACTCCAGTACACGGGACAAGAGAAATGTGCCAATAACCTTCTTCTTCTGGCTTCCAAAAAAATAAAAATCCCCATTATTTATACCTTCCAGAAAACAGATGTCGGTTTACTGTTAATAATAAGGCAACAAATTATTTTAAAAGATCCCAAAACAGTATTGCTTTTGCACCATCATAAAGTCGAAAATTCATAAGTTGAACCATCTTAAGTGGGGGACTGTCTATATTTAACTCTCTCGTAGTGTGAAAGCAGCATTTGACTATAGGAAAACCAATGAGTGCGATTGTGCTACATTAAAATTTTATGGACATGTAAATTTGAATTTCAAAACAAAAAGATCTCAAAACAGAATTGCAGGCTTCTCCCAAAAGTTAATGTTAAAAGTTAATGTTACGACACCATAATAGCTGAAATCCAGGCATCTTACAGGACTCCTTTGTTAGAGGCACTCTGTATTTTGTCCAAACCATATGGATGTTGTGCAATGAAGTAAAGAGAATGCCTTTTTGCCTTTTGCTATAAGGTAGTTTCTCAAAAGCATCTCTAAGATACATGTTCAGTCGTTCGGCTGATATCTTGTGGACACACACTGCTTATTAATAGGACCGACCTCCACATGTTTTGAAGCTTAAATAAAACGAGGGCAAACTAAAGCTGAGATCTCCAGAGAGCATAAAAAGGGCTTTTTTTGTAGATTATTTATTGAAGTATAACGTGAACAAATCACAAAACTCAAAAATGTACAGCTCTATGAATTTTCACAATGTGTAAACTATTTTTTTAAAGATTCTAGAAAATGGATTATTTTTTCCATTCAGCGGATTCTTTTGAAGAGAGAGCCACAAGCATTTGAAATAGATGACATCATCTGCAAGCAGAGGTGTGAGGCGACTTGGAGTTAGGTGTGGGGGTCCTTGACGTCATCGCGCAGCGGTTTCCTTTCCCTGCCCACTGCTCTCACTGAACTAGGTTATCCCATTAACGCTAGCGAAAACGGAAGTAAACTGCCCAAGCAACAAAACTGCGGACAAGGTGGGGCGGGTACTCAGTAGGCGCCTGCGCACTGGCTGACGTGAGGCAAAATGCCCGGCCTTGGGAGCGGAGCTCCTGACAACGGCACTCTATGCGCACGCGCAGAGGCGACCTCCACTCTTTGCCAGGTCGGGTGGCAGGGTCGCGCGGCGCCCTCTGCGCTTGCGCCCGGGCGCAAGGTGGGGCTTCGGGAGCCCGCATTCTGGAGTGAGCGCAGGGTTAGGGGGCAACCGTCACCCGTCGCCCTGAGGCGGGTGGCGGCGGGATGGCGACGGCCTCTGTGTCCTTGGACTTGGCCAGCTTCGGAGCGCCCCCGCCTGGCGGGGGAGTACAGGCGGCGACAGCTGAGGAGGAGGAGCGAGAGGTGGTACGGGTACGAGTCAAGGTGAGGTTGGCGGCCCGTCAGCCAGCCCACCCGTGGCTCCCAGGGAGGGAGAAGAGCGGGACCTGAGCTTTGGGGTGTTATCTGAGGGGCGACGCTTGAGGCCAAGTGATGGTGGAAGGGGGTGGGGGAGGCTGGACCTGGGAATGCGGGGACAGGGCCGGAGGGCGTGGAGACTGCAAATGGAAGGGTAAGGGGCCGTTGGAATGGAGATTGTGGATATCGAGGGGTGGGGGGCTATAGGATTGGAGGAGGTGGTCTTAATAGTTGAGAAGTGGGGCCCTGAGGAATGAAGGGGGCTGTTGCTGTCTGAAAAGGAGGCTCTGAAGTCAGTTAACGTATTTTGAGAGTGCACTTTTGTGCAAGTCCCCACCCTGGATGAACTGATATGCTTGTTGGAAAGACAAACAGCTGAATAAATGAGATGCTAAGGACATTGGTGAATGTCATGAAGAAATAACAAAACAAAAAAAAAAGGTCGTGAACTAGGGTATTACTTTAGCCAAGGCTGTACAAGGAAATCCTCAGAAAGGTATTGAAGAAGCAGAGACTCGAAATAAAAGGAGTCACCCATGTGCCTGTGACAGGGGAGAGTGTTCTAGGTGAAGGAAACAGCAAGGGCAAAGGCTGGGAAGTAGGGATGAGCTTGGCATATGCCCTTAGGTTCCCATATTGCTGGAGCGGAGAGAGCGAGGGGAAGAGTGGATGAAGATGAACCAAACAGGTGAGAGAGGGGCAGATTGTGAATGGCCTTTGGTATGTACTATGAATAAGAAAGCAGTTGCACTAGTTCCAGCAAGCAGTGGTGGTGGCTGGGACTAGGATGGTGGCACTGGTGGTGATGAGAAGAGGTTAGATTCTGGAGAGAAGTAAACTGATTACTTCAGTGTACTGGAGGAGGCTCTAAGGTAGAGGTTTGGGAGGTCAAAAAAGAGATGATGCTGGAGCTGTGAGTGAGCCAGCTGAAAGTGAGAGGGACATTCCAGACAGGGAGATCAGCACAAGCCAAGGCACGAAACCTGGATGTGTTCAAAGTAACTTCCAGCAGTTTGGTAGTACCAGAGTGTAAAGTTCAAGACTAGAAAGAGGCTGTCTGGGGGTCGTATAGGCCCTCCTGCTCTGGACCCTGGGGTTGCCTTTGAAGAGAGATAAACAGAGGAGATCAATATGCTAGGTTGGTTGCAGCATGAAGGACTGATTTAATAGAGGCCAGACTAGACATGGTGATCCTGGCAACCAGCACTGAGGGGATATAGGAGGAAGATTGTGTGCCTGGACCATTGCAATAGCCTCCTCCTTACTAGACCACTGCTTTCTCCTTTTCCCCCACACAGTCTTTTGTAAGCCAAGCAGCCAGAAAGATCCTGTAAATCCTAAGTCAGAACACATCCTCCCTCTGTTCAGAACCCTCCCAGTGCTTCCCCCTCACTCACAGCAAAAACAGAAGTCTTCATCATGGTCCACAACACCCTCCTTCATCTGGCCCCCAGCACTTCTCTAACCTTTTCTCCTGCTCACTCCGCTTCAGCATGGTGATATGGCCCCTGATGGCCAACCCTGTGTCTTATTTCCCTAGAAATGTGAGAGCTTCTTGCCACCTGAGTTCCGTTCTTTCGCTGTTGATCCCCAGATCACCTCCCTCGATGTGTTGCAACACATCCTCATCCGAGCGTTTGACTTGAATGGGTGAGTAATGGGATGCTAGCCACCCACCTCAACAGCGGTTGTTTCGCTTTTTTCATTGTTGTTGTTTGGTAGAGTATTTGTTTTATTATTATAAATAATCCCACAGTGAAGAGCCACATATGTATATCTTGGAATACTTGGGGAAATCTAGTCATAGGATAAATTCCTAGCAGTGGTATTTCTGGGTTAAAGGGTGTATGCTTTTTAAAATTTCAATGGATGGTTGCAAAATGCTCTCCAGACAGGTTTTACTGATTTACAATCTCACCAGCAGCATAGAAAATACCTGTTTCCCCCATACCCTCACAAATGTTGGTTACTAGACAACACTGGAAAATTTGCCAACCTGATAGATGAAAAGTGGTGTCTCTTGGAGGCAGGTGTAATGGTTATTTTGGAGAAATGCATGCACATGGTAACAGACTCAAAGAGTACAAAAGTGGTATGTATTTAGGATGTTTCCATGGTTGTAGTAGTTATCACACAACATACTTCTTTGCAGTTGTACAAATGTATCTGAAGAACAAATTCTTAGTTGTTATTTGACCTTTTTGCATAAACATCTTTTGTTGTAAAAAATGACAATTATACAGATTGCTTTTTTTAATGTAGTAAGAAGGCTGCGTTCTTTCCACTTCTATCCCTCAACTACCCTGTTACCCTCCCTAGAGGGGACCAACATTTTACCAGTTTCCAATGTGCCCTCCAGATACAAGCAGGTGGGTGCCTGTTTCTGTGTTCGTGTAACAAAGTAGAGATGAATGATCTGACCTTAGGCTGCCTACAATCCTTAGCACAGTACCCAGCATATATTAGAAAGTTGTTGTCGACACCATCTATCTTCCCCTGCTTGTTTTGGAAACTGCCCCTGAGGCTTCCAGGGTATTGGGGCACTGAGAGCTGCCATACCTTCTCTGTCCAGGAAGAAGAACTTTGGCATCAGCTACCTGGGTCGCGATCGGCTGGGGCAGGAAGCTTACCTCTCACTCCTGTCTGACTGGGATCTCACCACAGCCTTTGCCACTGCCTCCAAACCTTACCTGCAGCTGCGTGTAGACATTCGACCCACTGAGGACAGTGAGTACCCAGTGCCCCAGGGAGCACTGCTCTGGGACCTATCCTGTCCCCATAGGATGACTTCTTGCCTTGCAATACACTCCCTCACAGTGGGCTAGGGAGCTAAGTAGCCTAGGTCCAAGTCCTGGCTTGACCACTGGGCCTCAATTTCTTCACCTGTAAAGTAGAGATAATGTTATTTTAGGGCTATTGGGAGGATTAAACAGGGAGACTCATATAAAATGCCTAGAAGAGTGCATGGCTTCATAGTGAATGCTCAAAAAGTATTAGCCCTAATAATAATAATAATTAACATATTTACTATTATAGTATATAATCTGATTGGACATAATTATATAATGCAATATAATAGAGCTATATGATTCAATTATATTATGTAAATATAACAATGCTGGTTGTAATAATGGTAGTTGTATTTATTCATTCACTCTCCTGCACTCATATTCATTTGTTTGCACTTTTTCTCAATCATTCATTTGTTCCCTTAATCTCCCAGCTACTTCTCATTTGTTCCCTCACTTTTGCCTGTGCTGGTCCCTCAGAACACAGAGATAAATAAAGATGTCCCAAAACTTTGATTATGGACCACACATTATATAATAGTATTGTATCAGTGTTAAATTTTCTGGGTATGGTAATGATATGGTTATTGAAGGAAAATGTCCTTTTTCTCAGGAAAAACACAGTTAAGTATTAAGAGGTCATGATATCTACAAATAATTCACCAAAAAAGAATATGTGTATGTATATATGGAGAGAGTGAAATGAAGCAAAAGTGGCAATATTGTGGATAGTTAGGGGAGCTAAATGAAGGATGTATGGGAAATGCATTTGTCTTTTTAACTTTATTGTAGATTTGAAATTTTTTTAAATAAAAAGTATGGAGTGGAAGACATGATTCCCAGCCTCAGGGAACTCCCATGCCCATTTGGAATGACTGAGGCATTTTATTGTCATCATAATAAGATAAATAGCCAACATGTGTTGAACATTTGGGGCCATTCTACTCACATAATATTTATTCACCAGATTGTCAAAACAATCCTACAGGGTAGGGCTGATTATTATCCCCATGTTATAGATGAGGAAACTGAGGCTTAGAGAGGGAACAGAACTTGTCTATGTCACACAAACAGTAAGTGGGGAGCAGGATTTGAACCCAGGTAGTAGCCAAACTGACTCCAGCGTCTCTGCTCTTAACCATTTAACTCTACAAAATGTGGGGCTTATTAAGACTGACAGCCTTGAGAAAAAGCGACAAGAGAAAGAGAGCAAGAGAAACAAGAGTGAGAGAAAGATGGTGACAGAGACCAGCAGAGAAACAAATGAAAAAAAATAAAAAAAACAGGTAGCCAGAGACACAGGAACCTCTGCCACTGAGTAGCCCTATGTGCTTAGGTCAGTCACTTAACTAATTCCCTAAGCCTTGCTTTCCTCACCTGTAAAATAGACACAGCAGTGCTATTTCAGTAAATAAATCAAATTTGCTTGGATAATAAACACATGAAGAAAACCCCAACTGCATAAGAATCGAGAGAAATACAAATAAAGCAGAGACAGACACCCATCAGTCTGGCAGAAAGACATTTAAAAAATATTTTTTTAAAGAGAATCAACTTTCTAGTTATTGATGAGTCCATTATTTTTTTCCTGTTGTCTTATTTACCAAATTCCTGCATCTACAAGGGTTTAACGTTGATCTCTGCTAAATCCTAAGCCAGTTCATTGTTGTTTTAATCATAGCTTTATGATATGTTTTAATGTTTTCCTTTTTAAAATTCTTTCTTGAATATTCTTCTGCACTTACCATCCCTTTCATTTAATAGAATTAGCTTCTCAATCTATTAAAATCCTGATGGGAATTTGATTGGAGTTACATTTTTAAAAGAAATTAAATTTTAATTACCCAATAAAATACATTCTCCTTATCAAAAATGAAGGCATTTCAAATAATGCCAAAGACTTCTGGAACCACTATGCCTAATCTCAATCCTCAATCTTTGCCCTGCAAGAATCACTTTGATCGATTTGGTGTGTAATCTTTCAGGTCCTTTTATTTATTCACACACATACACACACACACACACACACACACCACACACACAGCTGTTGAATGCAGAGGAAACAGGTTTACAGAGTAGAGAGAATCATCCTTATTTAGGTAGTACATGGATCCGCTTATCAAGATATTGAGTTTCCTGCTTTTTCAGGCAGACATCACAAAGAACTTCTGGGCTCTGTACAAGACACATTGTAGATGCTTGATAAATACTTGTTGACATTGATAATGCCACCTG